TTATTAAAAACCGCATAATCCCCCTATATTGGCAGGCCAACGTTTAATCCCCGCATTTTTCCACACAAAGTTGAGAAGAAAAAAAAGTTAACTCGTCTTGACGTGACGTCATCATCTCGCGCATCACAGAATGTAAACAACACTGTATAGAGTGAACGTGTGGAGCTCACACGATAGAGAAAACACCAAGATGAAAAAATCTAATCCATCTCATTTACCGACGAACATTTCTACTAAAGACCGGGCAAAAAGTGGGGGGAAACTATTCTGCACCCCGTGCAACTGTGTGTTGGAGCATAAGAGAAAATCGACGGTGACGACCCACTTTGATTCATTCAAACATTCGAAAATGCTTTCTGCTGCTGCGGACAAGAAAGCCAAACAACTCACATTCACCGAGGCATCAACCTCCAAAACCCTTTCGAGGGCTACAAGAAACGAAGTGAGTAGCCTACAAGATTGAAGCTGGTCAGATAACGAACGATTAAATTAAAACAGAATGAGGTGGAGATGTGTGTGTGTGTGTGTGTGTGGGGGGGGGGTGTGAGATTCAAATAGCCCAATTGCTTTTACAATAAATAAACAATGAATGTGTTTAATTGAATAGTAAAGGGTTTTAACGTTAGTGGCAGGTTGTGTGTGAGAGAGAATAAATAAGACAGCCCAATATTTAAAAAAACTTTTTCCCGCATATTTAGCATATTTCGCAACTTTCCGCATATTTCGCAACTTCCCGCAATTTCACCGCATAAAATCACATAAAAACCCCGCATGTTTAATCGCATAATCAAGGATTTTAGCCCGCATAATCAAGGAATTTAGCCCGCATAATCAAGGATTTTTGCCCGCGTTTTTCTGGAGGGTCTAATTGATGCTGTGTCGGGGTATCAACTCTGATTTCTTGCTTTGATGAAATATTGACAAGCAAATCTATACTGTTAGAAACCTCAGGGGACCGTAAGAAAGGATAGAAGATGCGGGATGTACTAAACATAATTTGTGTTCTCTTTGTATTTCTGATTTTTCAATTGCATATTTTCTGTTTCCATTCAATCTCATCTTTATAGATGACAGATAAATATAAATTCTGAAATGTTCGCCCGCCCAATGAAAACATTAAGAATATTTTGCATTTTTTTATCTACAAGTAGCCCAATTACGATGGTCAGTCACACTTCCAATTACACAATGTCACTAGAGATCGATTATCGCTGTCAATTTATAATCTAATCGATGACCTGTCAGTCTGCAGGTGGACTAGAGGCAGGCAGCAGGCTAAATTAAACTGGTATTTCCTTGGCTTGTCAGTGTTTTACATTTGAATGCAGCACCTACAGTCACTACTTTGACTTTTAACATGACAAATGTTTACTTTGATGATTAACATTGACCTAATTAGCATCATAATGTAGCTGTGAGGAAGTGTTTCCCATAGACGTACATGTATTGGACTGACCGGGTTCCATTGATTACCATCTCTGTCCTCTCTGTTGAAGGCCAAATATATATATTTTTCAAGTAAAAGTAAATACAAATCTGAACTTCTGATATTCTTGTCATACTATGTGCAATATAGGACACAGCAGCTTGAGGTGTGATGAAAATATTTTTGTACGATTGCCGCCGATTCTCTGTTTCCATCTGAAAGTGGGCGGAGCCATCATCAATACTTGACCTCACACAACTTAAGACTACGATACCACTGTTGTGCACTAACTCGTATGTGCAATTTGTAAATTAGAATCTACTTGGAATGTAACTTGTACATTTGAATAACTTTACATTTTTTCTAATTTTTTGTGCATGCCGCTTTCATTTTATCTAATAGTGTTTTTTTGTTGTTTTTTTTATCTCTAGCTTCACTATTGCTGTAACAATTTAAATGTCCCCTCTATGGGACGAATGAAGGTATTCTGATTCTATAATAACTGAAAAGCGTCTTTTGCTCATGTTTCTGTATCATTCTGTGATTAAACTCACCGCCCATCGTCTAATCCGACACAAATGTTAGCACCGATCCCTGTTGGGGCCTTTTGAACTCCTGCATCAGTTTCCTCAGTCGGAGAAGGCTCTGGCACATATTCCAGACATCGGGCGGCTGAGTCTACCTGCAGGCTTTTCACAGTCCTTGGCATGGGCCTGTTGAGGGAAAATATCTCAATCTGGCCATGCGAGCCTTCTCCACCAGCCACCTGTTGGGAGAAAAAAACAGTTTGAAAAAGGTCAAGACCTCATGTTAAGCTGGACCGACGGACTGAATCACAATGCCAAGGGTAATAACTATTCTAGAGAAACTGAAAAAAAAAAGAGAAAGGAGCAGAACCAGCCTCCCTTTAGATCATGTTTGCTTCTCTGTCTTAATCAAATGGGGGAGTTCGGGGATAATGTGTCTCTAGTTTAAACATTCTCTACCTGTCAGAAATTTAGATTTATAAAAAAAAGCTCAAATCAATTATCCTTTCAGACCTTGTCGTTCGCAGCCCTGCCTCACTTCTTTTTTGAATATCATTTGGAATTTTAAACACATTGTATAAAGGATTCACAATGTCATCTCTAGAACATCAAACTATTCTTATAGCTCTGCGATCTTTTCATCAGCCGAGAACAGAGGCTCTAAGTTTCTGAAAGGCTCCGAGTTGCTTATCAATGAGGTTTTTTTTACAAGATCAAGTTAGTAGTCCATTGCTTCAGTCATTCAATGATTATATAAAAAAGATGTTTTTAATTTGAACTCGAATTTTGTTTTTGATATGTCCAAGCTCAAATCAAGCACAGAATATACTTTTTTAAGTACCAGCAAAGAAGTAAACACAAGCTTTAGAAAAGCTGGGAGCTTTCACTGGCTCAAATTGGACCACATTTGAACCATCAATGCCTGTACCGGGTTTTGAAAAGGCACTTGTTTGTTCTCCTAACAAACGGAAAGGCAACCTTGGATGTTATCAGAAAAGATCCACCAATCATGCCGAGCTTCCCATGGCAATTCACCCGCACAGGCTGAGTGTCTGCTTCAATGGTGGCTTCATTTCCTATGCACCACATTTATATTGGACTTTGTGTAGGCCTGTCAAAAACAATGCCGGGAAAACAAGGACAGCAGGAGTCCTCCAACCTATCTCTGAAACATTCCAATTACGTGGCATTACTCCCATTCCTAAACAACTAAAGTGTCGCTGTGGTTTTTCAATATGATTTCAATCATTAATCCTGCACGTGGGCCAAGGTGGATGTCCAGACGGAATACAATGTCCTTCTGGGGAAAGGAAGCACGGCTGCTCGCGGCTAGACACCAAAGATTTATTCTCCGTATGAATCACATCATGTGAATGTGACATGAGCTAAATATAGTCTTTAGCTCTTCTCCTCAACGCTCACCCTTATTTGCATGCAATCATTTGTTTGATTTGTATCAGCGTGCAAAATCTGGACAGGAGCGATCCTGTGGGCTCTTGAGAATGAGCCAGAACAAATAATGGTCTGTTGCACAGGGTGAAAAAAAAAGATAGGGAGGACTTATCTTGCAGCGAGGAGCTTGAAAAAACACGGCTTCAAGTGAGTGTGTAACCATAGCCAGGGGCAAAGGCCCCCTTACCAATAATCCCCCATGATTTATACATTCAGCTGCCATCTGTATGTCCTTAACCCCTTCACCACTATCCCTGTCAACAAACACATTCCCTTCTCTTTCATTCAGCAACACCTCTCTTCGCCAGATATCCAGTGCACATACTGTTTCCTGACAAAGTCATTACTACTTATTTAGAGAACTGGAAACGTGCCCTGGACGGATTCCTGTTCTCAGCCTGGGAGAAGCAAGAACTCCACGAACAGTAAACGCTCTTCCAGCATTAATTAGATTGCTTTGGAGGCAGCGAGGAAATGTGGGAGAAAAGTCATGATGGCACTCTCTGCCCAATTGTACTCGCCACATTAAGCCAAAAACCATGGGTCACCAGATTGTTGATGTGATTGTCTGAAACGGATGCATTTCCAGTTCCCCATTTCTGATGCATGCTTTGAATCCCTGAACAAGTGTAGAAGAAGGGAATCATAATGGCAGAGCAAATGGAGACTTTATCTGCGAATGATAAGTAGGATGCTTTGGACGTGGAAGGTGAAGGCGTTGACTGAGGTATCAGGCTGATTAAACATAATGTCATTACTCTGATCAAAGCACACAGAGATCCCCATAGCCCATCTCACTTTAACATGATTAGTGTCATCCCTTGTTTGACGAGCCTTCCAGGGAGGAAGATCCAACTCTCCGAAGCACAGCCACTAATTATTCTGACTGGAACAGTAAGCCTTTAATAATATTATTTTTGTGGATATCAGCTTTTGCTTTGGTTACATGTTGTACTGGCCAGTATGTTCCATGTATTACTTGAAGGTCAGGTGTGCAAGTTGCTCCAAATGGGAACATCTTGATTCTGGATATTTGTATTAAATTCATGACAAAATACAGTGCATTGAAAAATTGCATTACTGAGTAACAGTCCTCCTTGACATATTTCATTAAGGCCTCCTTTCAGATAGCATTCACTACTAATGTGCCAACGTGCTTGGGTCTCTTCTGGCAAACATGCCTAAGATATTAAATTGCAATAAGAGTATCAAAGTTAATTCAGAATATCAAATGTGACAGCCTCTAAATATAAACATTTGAATTAGAATTCAACCAAGAGGTGCACTGTCATTGTTTTGATTGCTCTGAACATCAAACTTGTTCCTTCTTTAAGATTCAGATCCATGCAGCCTCTGTGTGAGCTTGAACCCAAATCAAG